AAAACCTGCAGCAACGGATCATCTGAAGATCTCAATCTGCCAATATCATCTCTTTCATAAAATGAAATGTAGGGTGTCTCCAGAGGCTCCAATAAATTCATAACATCGCCAGAACACTTCGTGACACGACTATCGTCAATCTTAAACCAGTCCGTTTTGTCTTTGCCCAAGGCGTAATAATGACCAAGTTCAACGCCAGAACCACAGTGAACAATGACTGCATGAATATTATAATGGTGGTCTGCTAGATTCAAGTGTTCATCTATTTCGAACCTTCGTAAGAATTTGAGGTTGAGTCATGTTTGAATATCATCAGTGTCATTATTAGGTTGACTGGTGCCTCAGCTACACTTGTTTTCTTATAATATTCAGTTAGTTTGGTACATGTTTGTCAATACAATTTTATCATCATCCGTAACATTTTCAGATGATTTGACAATAAGCTTTGCAAGGACTGGTTATCAGTCATATTAGGAAACGCTAGTTGGAGTTCCAGAAAATCACATACGTTTTTGCTACCTCTGGAACATTTACTACAACGTAAACAAGTGAGGATTTTTCCAGCAAAAGATCTACAAACACAAGACGGGATAGACTGTATGGAATCATTCAATCCAGAGCGGTCAGTAGTATTGATTATGCTATTTTTTTCTCCACGAAGAGTATCCTTAAATAATTCAGAACAATCCTCTTGTTGTCCTAACGAGTATCTAGTGGACTTCAAAGACTTCAAGAAATCGCTTGGTGGAAAAGATGATACATTCTTTCGAAACTGCAACATTCTCGTTCTTGTTCATCGTTAAAACCTCGTTCTTGAAATTTTTCATCATGAATAACACTTGTAAAATGTTAATCATGTAGCAAGTGTAGCAAGCAAGATTTTCAGGATAACTGTCTACTGATGATTCGTAAGGAAGAACGTTTCAAAGAAACTGTATCAGAACTATTTCTCAAGCTGCAATCGATTCTTCCAAGTGATGAAGGGTTTCGTAGAGGGATCGATTCGGCTCTTGCTTCATAAAGCTCTTCCACTGAAAGGTAACCAGAACCACGAGGACTGCAGCTCATATTTGAGTTTCAAGAATGACCTAAGCCCATTGACCGCACTGAAAAAGAAGGAGGTGGATCAATCACTTGCGAATTAACCTTGATAGAAGACTGATGAATATACACATATCTCGGCTTGTTTCGAAGAGATTTCAGTTCCATACTGAAATGAGGGCAATGCATGATCTCATCAAAATTATATGAAGGAGAAATAATTCCAAGGACCGAATCAGCATTACCACGTTGAATAGCAATACTAATTTTTTTATCTAGAAAGAAGTGGAACGGTAATCTTTCGTTGCTTGGCCTATTCTCCTTCCGAATTCATGAACGAATAACAAATACTCCGGGCCATAAAAACCAAAAGTTTCAACCCCTACTGGATGGAAGAGATAATTGTTACCAAAATTTTAGTTATTTTTTTGTTTTAAATTTTCGCCAGACAATGCTGCAGTTCTAGCAGACTTCGAATTTTCGCCTAGATGGGAAGCCGCAACCGTGTCTCATACCACAGGTTAACCGTATTTCTATGGTATGAGAGACATATCATCTGGTCGTTTACCATCATCTCGACTGGTACCTCAGGGTTCCAGAGTTGCAGGAACATTCGCTGACACCATAGCTCGTTTCGATATGCCGTTCACCTGCTGATGTTGAGATTTACGCACTGTGACTCAAACCAAGCGTAAAAATTGGAATTGAGTGCTAAATAACACTTGATGTGTTGACAGTGGCATACGGTGATTGTACTTTGCGTCAGAAAAATGTTTTAGTGGTACAAGCTTTTGTTGAGAAGATGTTGTTGGGAAAGTGAAGATCACTATCAGAGAAGTTACTGAAGATATCGGCATATCAGTTGACTCATGCCATGCAGTTTTTTCGGAAATTTCCAAAATTGGTGAATTCTGACCAAAGAAACGGTTGCGTGAGCATTGCTCAGGAATTAATGAATGACGTCAACGGCGTTCCAGATTTGCTTGAAAGGGTCATAACTGGTGACACCGAAACCAAAGGCCAATCGTCCCAATGGAAGAGCCCAAAAGAGCCAAGACCAAAAAAGCACCCAACTTCGATCAAATGTCAAGGTTTTGCTTACTGTTTTCTTGGATTACCGTGGCGTAGTGCGTCACGAGTTCATGCCACATAGTGGTACGGTCAATTAGGAGTTATGCACCACTTGCGAGAAGCAATACGAAGAAAACTTTCGATATTGTGAAAAGACAGTTCATGGCTTTTGCATCACGATAATGCACCTGCTCATTCGTCATTGTTCGTTCGTAATTTTTCAGTCAAAAACAATACTGTCATCATGCCTCAGCCACCATATTTACCAGATTTAACCCCTGTTTTCAAGACTGAAAAGACGCATGAAAAAATGGCGTTTCGCGACGATTGAGAAGATTAAAACCGAATAGCCGAGAATGCTCAAAGACATACCGAAATGTGCATTTCAGAATTGCTTCAAGGATGGGAAAAACGCTGAAATAAATGTATTATATCTGAGGGTGATAACTTTGAATGGGACAAAATAAAAATTGATGAACAAATGAATATTTTTAGGAAGAAATTAAAATTCACATTATTTTTCAAACAGACAGCATATTTCTCTGTTTGATATCATATATCGAGTTTAATATTTGTGTTAGCTCGGAACTAAAATATACTTTCCAGCCGTAAACCGACACATTCTTGTTCTTGTCCTTTGTTTCGTATTGTTTTTCTATCCTGTCTTGCATGAGATTTCATTTATCATCTCATGAGAAATGTTAAAATTTTTTAGTCAACAGTCTAGATATACTTGAAACTGACCACCGTCCTTATCAACCATCATGATTCTCAAATATCGCTTCAAAGAAATCGAAACCTAATTGAAGGTTCACCATAGTTTTGGTCCTTTGGGCCGGATTGACTGAATTTGCACATTTGCAAATAATTGAGATTACAAAAATTTTAATACTCCGTCTTCAAAAGATTCCATATAGAACACTCAACTTGTCTTTTCAGCAATCTGTTCGGTCCCAGATTTCGAAAAATAACTGACACAAGCTAGATATGGTGATTTTGCATTCGTTCGAAATCCCTAATGATTTCATTGTGGGAAAAGCTCCTATCATAGTACTATATTTACACGGAAGCAAAACTCCTCATTCTACTTTAACACGTTTCTGACTTGTAAAGAGATACTTTCCGGCGGCAGCAAATCCGATGTGAAAACACCGTGATGTGGTTCCAGACTCGAAACTTTATAAGAACTTCGACATCCCGAACATGTAAAGTTTAGATTCGCGATTTCGTGTTCCAACAAAAAGCAACTTTACAATCGCCTAATACGCCTAGTTTAACCTACCGCTTAAGGATGGAAAGGGCGCACTCTATATTTGTTATTTTCGAGAGCACTAAATCACGAGTGGAACTCGATGCCATCCTCCCTCCAGACCTTTAAGAGTCTGCCCTTCGTTACGTCTACTCCGAAAATGATGGATGTGTTTGTGTATTCTTATTCTTAGCAGTTCAGGTATATTTTTGCCGGTCGTGATTTATTTCTGTTCGCTGCGAATGTTGAAACTTTTTTATAATATATCTGTTCAGTTTTTGTAGATTTGATATCGAGCTTCTATCATTATCGTTGAGAAATGGAATTCCTTCGGATATAAACGAGATGCGGGTCGATTAGGGATTTTTCAGCTGTCGTCTAATTCAGGTTGAATCGTTTCTTATTGCCAGATTTTTGTCGTTGATTATATATGAAGAAATTGTACGAATAATTTGTTTCGATATGTTTTTGTTGTTTCAACAATGCTTTCACCCAGAGATGCATTGAGAATATGCGAACAAGAGCATCTAGAGGGAGAACTGGATCATTTTCAAATGACCTTGAAATTGAATGGATACAGTGTAACCGAGATCAACAAGGATATGAAACTGAAGATACATGACTCGATGTCAATGAACAGGCAGAAAATGGCCTAGAACTGATTAAATATTGGTTTGATCATAAATAGCTATCACTGAGCTTTAAAAAACATAATTATTACCATTCTGTAACAACAGACCCTCTTTACCACCGTATCAAACCTTAATAATCCAAAATACCCTTCTATATTATATTATAGACCCTCATTCAAGATGGAATTTTCATATAAACTATCTAGTAAAAAAATCAAGAAATATCCTATTTAAGTTCAAGCAACTCAAAGACATTCTGAATCAGAAGGAGAAAGCGGCCCCCTACGCCAATAACCAGGCTAGATGTCGACGGACTCGACGAGGTCGTCAGTGCGAAGAGGAAGCTAGCTTCATGGTGTTGTTTTTTCGTGACAGTATACGCGCGCATCGTAAAAATGTACTCTCATCATTCTTCCCTAACGCATCAAAAGAAGTATAACTTCAATAAAATAGCCGTATTCATATGTAAAATGAATGACTGGAATCTCAGAATTTGTATAAATTCTGAGATTCTCATCTGAAATACCAAAGTTGTGCCAAATTTCTGTTCATATGGTATGCAAGTTGATATAATAGTTGGGCAGAAAAGTTCATTAGCTATCACACAGATGGCGCTACTAGTATTGAATCCATATGATTCTCGGTTAACGCTAATCTTCAAAGGACACATGTAGAAATTTCACAGCAGTCGCATTATTATCCGTTGGATTATCCACCGTATTCTCCAGATCTGACTCCCATCAAAAAATGGTATCGAAAAATTGTATGACCGCTATAATCATTGTGTCACCCTCGAAGGCAACTATATTGAATAATAAAATCAAAGTTTATGAAAAAAAATCCTATGTTAGCCTAAGGACTCTTCAGCCCAACTGTTATCATATGAAACACCAAAATTCCATTTATACTAGTCAAACGAAAGGATCATAGGGCCTGAATCGGTTTACATCATGTGTACCTATCCTTTGAGTATAAGTTGAATTAAAATTTACTAATTTCTCTTCCAGTCGCACCCATTTGTAGGCCAGGTCAACCCAAAGTCTTCGGCGTAGCGAGGCATGAAATCGCTAAAATCGTGTGCGAGCTAGAAGGCAGCCCGACTGACATCCAGTTCACATGGAAGTTCAACAATAGTGCCGACACCGTCGACATACCCCAAAGTCAGATACACACAGAAAAATCAAGAAGCGTAGCTTCCTACAAGCCTATGACGGAGTTGGACTACGGGACGCTTCTCTGTTGGGGCAGAAACGAAATTGGGATGCAAAAGGAGCCATGCGTGTTCTATGTCAATCCTGCAGGTAATCAATGAGTAAAAGTAAACAGGGGGGATAACACTTCACTGATTTCCTCACACAAGAATACTTTTCAATGTCTCATATGTCAGCAACAGTTTTCAAAGAATGAAAAGAGGCAATTGAGTGAGAATGATTTTCATAGAATGAACAAAAGTGACACTCTCTTCATCCATCAAAATTGATGGATAAAACCTAGACCTGAAGGAATTGCACCTAAAGGAATTTTGATATACTTCTGGTAATGTAAAAATTGCAACCAGTCGTTTATTTCGTCATGAACCTCTGAAAAGCCCGAAAATGTGATAGTGGTTCTGGTACTATACAAATTGCAACCAGATGTTTATTTTGTCATAAACCTCTGGAAAGCCCGAAAAGGTGATAGTGGTTTTGACTTATTTTTATATCTGAAATGTATTGATCTGATAAGCTAATACTTGAAAAGCCCGAAAATGTGATAGTGGTTTTGACCTATTTCTATATCTGAAAGGTATTGATCTGATCCGCTCTTATGAATAATTCTGTCCTAATACTCAGTTCACAATGTAGAAGTCAAAAAATCTATATTCGCGATAACTTGGCTCAAATTAACTGTTCGAGTTTGTGTTTGATTTCAGAACAGGACAACAACAATGAGCCACTACATGATAAAACAGTAAATCAACTCAACTTCGCAATACAGATACAATGTAAATAATCTTAATAGCTGTTACATTATAATAACTCTCTAAAAATACAATTATTTATAACAATTCAAGAGACGACTATCACGATCGAATTCGGTTGATACGAATACGCGATCACAGGGTATCGTGCCTGCACTCGACCAATGCTGTATTAGAACTGTCCGTACTACCCTAAAAACTCTCTACCTCCCAAGTACTCGTGAGGAAATTCAAGGATCACACTCCTACGTCATCTCAGGCTTGTCTTTTCAACAGGTGAACATTATTGGGTTCTATTCCAACTCCAAACCGTTATTTTTAACACGTCGACATGTGTTTCAATCACCAAGTGATCATCTCCAGTGTACCTCTTGAAAATGATCACTCGGTGATTGAAACACGTGTAGAGGTGTTGAAAACAACGGTTTGGTGTTGGGATACAACTCCAGTAATATTCATTACTACACCGAAGGTTCCAAACAGAATATCACAAGTTTTCAACAGGTATAAAAGAAGACATCCATTGACCCTGTGATTGCAGATGCTTCGATAAACTCGAGAAAATATAGTCGGCTCAACTAACGACAACTAATTTGAAGTGAATATATCAGTGATTGTAGAAGTATTCAAACTGTAAGGGTAAAAGTTGATCGCAGAGCAGCGAACATTAAATTACATTATTTCGTGCACATGAAACGGTATGGAATCACTTCAGATTCGAGGTTGAAATGAACAACTTTCAAGTGTTTCATTACAACTATGATCCATTTTATGTAGTATAATCCTGGATGAAATGAACAATTTCAACTGTTTGAAATCAATTGAAAACCCAGTATTATTTCTTTCAAGGATTGTACAAAAACTAACAAGGAACATCATCTTTGTTTCCTTCTGAAATAATTCAATTGTGTTCTCTCTAGGAAAACCAGATGCACTTTCAAACTGCTCCATCATCAACCAGACTGCAGATTCTCTCAACGTTGAATGTACCGAAGGTTTTGATGGTGGCCTTCTTCAGGACTTCGTTATGGAGGTGTTCGATACACTATCGAGAAAACTTGTCAGCAACGTGACTTCCAGGACGCCCGTATTCAGTGTTGGAGGTTTAGAATCGGGGGCAGGTTTCGACATTGGATTGTACGCTGCCAATAAGAAGGGAAGGAGTCCCGTTGCGAAATTGCAAGCATTCACTTTGAAATCTGCAGAAAAGCATACAGGTGAGTTTTTTGGGTAGTTTCTGAAAAAGAAAAAATATTCCAACAAATGAATGTCAATTTTTTTCGTGTGAGCAATATTCTCAGAGTTTTCGGCTGGACGAATTTTTGTTGAATATTGAAAAGTAAAATATAGTATCTCAACTTTTATATCAAGTGACAATTAAGAATTGACAACAAGCCCAAGTGTGTTCCACATCTGTTAACAGTGTGTGCAAACTAATACAAGAAACGAGAATATTGGAATGAGTGTTTTAAAAATATAGAAGGAAATACGCAATAAGCCCATGACTCCGTAGTGTTTTATCGGGAATGGAATAAATGGACAAGTGAAACTGCTCTCAATTGGTATCAAAACAGAAAATCAATCTATGACTTTGCATGAATTTTTTCGATTCTCATTCCATTGGATAAAATCCAGTCCAAAAGAAATGATGGTACGAAAAATTGATAGACAGTTTCATTGTCACATGAATATGCAGTAGTACCAGGAACTCAGTAGTATAGCTTGTCAAATCAAGGAAGCGACTTCAAAGTCTCGACTTAGTACATTCCTTAAGATACGCGTAGAAGAAAACCCTTAAAAAAGAATAGAGCTCAGCCTCAACCATAATCTTGTAGCGTTCACTTTGGTGAAGGTACAAAAGTCTGTACTCAAAGGAAAAGGCTTTCAAATCAAAATTGAAACGGAAAGTTGTGCGTGGTCAAGAGAGAGAAGTGATTGCTAATATACTTTTTTTATGCAACGAGAAGCTGATAATGGCATCAGCATGGATCTGAAAATAGTTTCAAGAGCGTTGTGCGAAAGCGGCTGGTGTGAGTTTGGGTAGCATCAAAAGAATAGCTCGTGAAATGAAAACAATTGAAAATGGAGAGTTATCCTTTTTTCCAACGCCTAAAAAAAAGACATCAAAATCAGATTTTGATGATTTCGACATAGGCCTTCACGTCGATATATAATCAATTATTATATTACTGAGAAAAAGATTTACCCCCTTACGCCGCATTCATAAAAAATTCTGTGATGAAAATGGTTACAAGTGATCTCGAGTCTCAGAGGAAAGTGATCAAAGAAACAGGATACAGGTGCAGGAAAATGAAAAAAAACCAGCGATTCAGCAATTGCAAAGAAATTTTCTCAGAGACATGAAGAAATACCGTGAAGAAAGTCAAACAATAACTTATATGTATGAAACATATATCCATGGTATGCCCCATACCACAATGCTCAGTATGGAAAGTGCCCAAACATATCTTCTTCAACCCAAATGAATTACATTTTTAGAATAAATATTTCTGCCTTTCCTCAACAAACCCAAAATTAAATGCAATACAGACTGCAAACTCATTTAAATTCAATTACGTAAATACCGCATTATNAATGACGTCAAAAAAGTTGAGCTTTTCATGCACTAAATTTTGTAAGAATCTTCCGGAGCGCATACTATACACTCCAGGAAGAATTAAGACGGGACAATGATAAATTATAGTAGTATGTCGATATACATGTCAATACTTAAAAGGTTTATTCGGTTTAAAGTCGTGTATTTTTGTAGCTCCAATTTTATAGCTGGAATTGTCCCACCCACCATACTCCCCAGATCTCTCGCCAACCGACTACCATTTTTTTCAAATACTCCGATAACTTTCTCACCGATAGAAACTTCGCCAATCAGGACCAGGCAAGAACGGCTTTCGCCGACTTCATCAAATCCCAAGCACACAATTATTATGCTGACGGAATTAATCGACTTGTATTACGTTGGCAACAGTGCACTGATTCAAATGGTCCTTATTTTGATTCAATTGAATTAGTATTCAATGGTATATTGCAGTTTAAAAACGGACAAAACTTGTGTTATACAGATTTTCACGAAAATGCTTGTCTATTTTGCTTATTGTTCCTTGAGATATGGCGGTAAATTGGGAAATTTCTCTTGAAATAGGCGAACTACTTCCTGTTGTGTTCGGGTTTTATCTCCGTAACCAATCATTTGTAAAACTGTTATTTTATGTATTTCCGTTAATCTAACCATTTTTCAGACTTGAAGTTAACGAACTTTAAATTTAAATTGAAATACTGACAACTAATGTTGTAACAAGTTGACAAGGCGTTTTAAACTAACGTTGCCACGGAAATTATTTACAGTTTTTTATAGGATACCATCTGTATCATGTTTTTATCCATACTAACATTGTTGTGTTTTATGTTTTCTCATTTCCATTGTGTGGAAATGATTCAGAAGATTTTTCTTTGAAAAACTTCATAATTATGTGGAGAGTATTCTTTATGCTTATCATCATACATGAATATTTGGACCACGATAATTAATTTATCAAAAGTAAATTGTCACTTTGACAACTTCCACACATTACTCAAATCGATGTAGATTTAATGCAACACATATTTTCCACACCAAGAAACGTATAATTATAATCAAGCGTCGTTTCAGTCTCCACAAAGCATCGTTCAGCCTTTTCGCACAAAACATAATCAAATCTCGACAAGGGGATGTGTTCAATCAATTCTTCACAGTAAACAAGTCTGCTATATGTGGGCTTCATATCAACAACCTATTTGCATTCGGGGTCTGTAAAGCATTTAAACGCTATCATGTTTGCAAGGGTTACATGTAGCAAATACGTACGGTGTATTGATTAAGGAAATTGAGTCACAAGATTCTATTCACGAAATATTCCAGTAATGAATAGTAACGCAGATTCATAATGGTGATCGCAATACAAAAGATCAATGACCTCTATGCCGCTCTGGCCTTGTGTTCCCCTTCCTGACTGGGGCATTGATGAACAAACTGTTAATTTCAACAGACATCGTGGGACCTTCACTCAACTGAGCGACGGGGTCTTCTGAATCAAGTAGGGTCGTTTATAGTGTTATCTACAGCTTCCCTGTCTAATGGGTTATCATGAGTTTCCGCTGATTCAAAAACTCTCTGATTCCTCGACTGAATAGACTGCCGTATAGTTAACAGCTTCAAATCTCTGCGGATGGTTTCATTTCGCACGAACCATGGAGCATTCACCAGCATCCTAAGAAGTTTGTTTTGCAACTTTACCAAAATGGAGAGGTTTGACGGAGCGGTTTGTCCCTAGGCGCCTGAAACATACATGATGACAGGCTTGAACATCGTGTTGTATAATAAAACTTTATTTCTAATGTTGAACTTTGAGTGTCTGTTGAACAGAGGATAGAGTTTAACTATCCTGGACTGAACCTTGCTCTTGATGTAATCAATGTGATTTGCCCAGGTGAATCGGCGATCTATCCAAAGATCTAGGTACTTGACTCGCGTTTGCCATTCGATCTCCCTGCCTGAGATTGTGACTCTTGTATCTGGAGAAACCAAATCTATCGCCTGAGTTTTGTCTGGGTTCTCTCGGATCTTCCACTCGAGATACCGGCGTTCGAGGTCGTCCAATGCACCTTGCATGTAGACGATCGCCAACGCCCGACCCGTGAAAGAGGCGAGGAGAGCCGTATCATTGGCGTTAAAGGAAACTTTTACGTGATCGAACCACGGAAGGTCGCTCACGTAAAGTCTGTACAGTAGTGGAGACAGCACAGCTCCATGAGGCAATCCAGCTTGGATTTCTCTGACAGGTGACAGGGTTCCTTCAACTCGGATGTGGAATATTCTGCCTTTCAGAAAGGACCTAATCCACCAGACTAGACCCCGTGGCAGATCGAAATCGAGCATTTTGTGCAGCAGGATTTCGAAATAACCAGGAGGTCAAGATGGACTGTCTTCCTGTTGTTCAGCTCTGAGATGAAATTTTCGACCAGTCTCACGGTCTGCAGTTCGGTGGAGTGTTCCCTTCTGAAGCCGAATTGTTCGTCAGGCAGAACGTTTCGGTCTTCAACTTCTTCTGTTAGCCTTTGCAGCACAACACGTTCCACCAACTCAGCCGTTGAGCAAAGCAGATTAATCGGACGATGATTCTGGTGAAACAGCGGGTTCTAGCCCTGTTTCGGAATCATGACAACCACGGCATGCTTCCTCCATCTTCGAGGTAAGTATCCGAGGTCGATTGAACTGTTAATTATGTCCAACAGATATCTAACAAAGTTCTTGGGGAGCTGCTTCAACAACCTATTGTTAATTGAATCAACTCCCGGAGCCTTTTTGGGTTTGGAGGCCCTAATATACCCCCTCTGTTCTTCCTCCGAAGCTGGACGGATCACGTCGTCATCATTTTCCCGAAGGATTCGCGGAACCCGATGTTCCAACGGGATATCACTGTCAATATTATCATCTGGATCAGCGTTAAGTTGAAACTGACTCTCCATTGTGTCTGCAAAGACCAATGATTTCTCGGCGGGGGAGTAGCAGATGCCGCGCTGTCCGTGAAGCGGGGAGGGAGCAGTTTTCCTCTACTCGAGCCTGCGAATGACTCGCCAGAGCTCGTCATCCCCAGGTTCAAGCAATTCCAAGCACTCACTGGAATCGCTTAAACCTGGGGACATTTTATGTGAAATAATTCAACTAATAGTGTCCTATAAAAGCCTAGATCATCTTATATAGTAAACCAGTGGAGTAGAAATATTTTCATTTAATCTGCACTTTTTTGTTGCTATACCTACCCAAATGAATCTTGAAAAAAATTACAATGTAGTTTTCATTTTCTAGCATTATTGCAACCACCCACCAAACCTGCTCCTCCGGAAAACTGCACAATTCGGCACCAAACTAGATACCATATTTCTGTAAAATGTCAGACAGATGAAAATAATCACGAATTCTCCAACACCTTCCTGATGCAAGTTTATGATGCAAATAGTCGCTTTCTGCTGGGTACGACTACCTCGCAAAATCCAGAAGATATTTCTATCGGAAACTTACCCGACGGGTACGAGGGTCTACTTTTATTTATAAGGACCATGGATTCCAGATCTATTACTAGCGATGCGAATATCATTTACGTTCCCACCGTTGCAAATATCAGAACCGGCGGTAAGATATTTCAGAAAAGTTTGTGCTGTT